CGAGGCGGAGGAGGGTGGAGGAAGGCGAGGATCGGAGGAAGGGTGGCGTGCTATGATCAGCATGGAGCTTCCGGCGCACACGACGCAGCATGGTGCTCTTCACCTGGGGGTCGGGGTCGGGGTCAACCCAGGTGACCCAGCCGGAAGTGCCCTGACCGCCATTCATCCGCATCCTCAGGACGCCCTGGCCCTCCACCACCATAATCACGGAGCTGCAACACCCGGAGGTATGCACGAGGACTCCAAGAAAAAACGTATGTTTCTTCTTACGAATCCATTTTCCATTTTCCCATATTTTACACATTCAAAAAATCAAACGTAGGAAAGAGTTAAAAAATATTTTTAACTTGTTTCGAAAATATTATTATTATTATTATTATTATTATTATTAGATTAAATGTTTAGACGAAGACACTTTCCTACGATAATTTACTTTAATTTAATTTTTTAAGCTTTGATCTTGAAGTAATAATTGGAATATTTCTTTCTTTTTTTTTTTTTTTGGAAATTTGCTAATCAGTTTCAGTCGAAGAAAGAAAGATAGAATTCTGTGAATAATTTCTTTTTCTTTTTTTATGGTTTGATGGAATCGCTATCGAGTTCATGACAATTTCATTCATCGACTCATCCGGGACAAACGAGTTTCGGCGAGGTTAATGTTTCATCGCGGTAATTGGTCTTCTTCTTGTCCGCGTTGTCGAGCCGACGTCCACCCAACAAAAACGGGGCACGGGTGATGCCGACACTTGTATACTGGTTCTTCGCCTGCCTCCAATGTATCAGCACGCTTCTGGACATTCCTCAGATTCTTTTCTCCCCATCGTCTTCTTCTTCTTTCTTCTATTACGGAGCAATGTAAATTTCTTTTGCTCCTCCTTCGACCTCCGCCTATTTTATTCTATTCACTCACGATGACTCATTTATCCAAGAATTCCTCCATTTTTTTCCCCAGAAAAATTCAAATATCAAATGCCACCATCGCCAATCAATTTTCAAATCTCGAAAGACACAATATTAATATAGAGTAAATATTCTTCTTATAAAAAGAATGAATTGGAATAATTTCCAATGGATAAATACCAATCTTACATTTCATCCCTTCCAAATTTTTATAATATACTATGTTAAAATCTATCTATCCCCTCGAACATTCCTTCTCAACCCTCCCTCCCCACTATTCAAATTTAAAGAGAGCAAGAGAAATTCATCCGAGATCCCAAGAGAAGCAACACCTTGCCAAGTGTCATCCGACAATTCCCGGAGGAGGACGAGGCATCCTCTCGATCGAGAATACTTTTTCAGACTTTTTCTCCCCCTCGAAGCGGACGTAGCGACAGCTAATAAACGCGGTCATATTTTTCGCTTGATCCCGAGCCAATAGGAATGTTGTACCCCGGCAAAAAGCACGGGGCACGTGCTTCGCGGAAAGCCTTCGCGATAAATCTTCGCTCCGAGGACTGTGCAGCAGCTCGAGAGAGTGGCTGCACAGCCAGCCTCTTCCAGCCGCCGATCTCGGTGCGCGATGACGGTGCAACACTTAGTGTTGCCGCTGAGTCAACTTGGAATCCGGGGAATACGTTCGATCGGTGGAATAACTCTTTCCGCAGAAAATCGACCTTGTTTCCAGTTTACGGCCGTATCCATCGTGGAGTAAGAGCAAGAGGAGGAGGAGGAGGAGGAGGATTTTACGATCGACGTTATACGTCTTCGGGGAAGACGAATGGTTCCACTTTCGGACGCGATTTATTTGTCAATTAGCTCGATACCTGAAGATGATTTACGGCACAATTGTCCATGGAGGCTTGATCTCCTGTCCCGTTCCGGGCAAAATTAGCGAGCTTCGAGTTTATGGATTTATTCGATCCATTCGGAATTCTACTTGTGCTTTTTGTCACTAATAAACTGATAAATGGGAGCATTTTGTTTCTTACTTTTCTTCTTTGTGTATTGAATAAAGATCGATCGAATAGAGGGATAAAAGAAAATAGAGGATAAAAGAAAAAAGGGATTCTTAAATACCTTTCCCAAACAGAGAGAAAAATAACTTTTCAAATCTCACTTTCTATTCTACGATTTTATTCTACGATACAAATTGGGAAAGAGAGAAATCTTTCCCCAAGATAAAACAGATTCCTCGAAAGATTTCTCGAGGCGGTGGAAATAACGGTTCCCTTAAAATCTCTTCATTAAACCGTAATGACACACCGGTATATATATACGTAAAGGAACCCTGTTATCCGGGGTTGCTTATCCCCACATCGATATCGGCTTAATTGAATCTTATCCTCGCGGGACATCGTGCCGGGGCGATACGTGCCGATCCTTCATCAAAGACCGCCAGAACAAGAGCCGCGTGAAAGGCCTCCTTGTTCCGTACGGAACAATCGAGTTAGCTCAACTTGCCCCGAGTTCCACGGCAACGATCTTTTCGAGCACACGTACACGTATACACGGTGTGCTTCGCGTGTTCTAGCTCGCCTACTTTGCCCATAAAATTCGATAACGCGTCACGGAATAATAATAATCCGATAGATTTCCAAATTTTACGAAATTTAAAAAAAGAAAACATATATTCGATAATTTTCAAACAGAAGAGATCTCTATTATACGTTAATAGAAATTATTATTGTTCATTACTTTTCTCCCTTCCAAAATTCACGGAAT